AAAGGAGAGATCGTTAGGAAAGAGTTTGGGCGGGACTCTGATAAAAAGAGATAAGAAACCTGGTCAGTTTGGTGTTACCCATCCAGGTGAATGCAAAGCACACCATGCCGAGAGGAAAGGAGATCTGAGGACATCAGGACGAGGGTAGTGAGAGCACATCAGTCTGGGGAAGGCTATAAAATCATCTCAAAAAGGTTTGAGCTCCATCAGTCCACTGTGGGGCAAATCATTTACAAATGGAGAGCATTTAACATGACAGCAACTCGGCCTAGAAGTGGACGCCCTTCCAAATTATCCCCAAGAGCCACAAGAACAAAAATAAATCAGGTAAAAGCCAACCCAAACATAACATCTAGAGATTTGCAGACCTCCCTTGCTGCATCTCAGTTAACTGTGCATGCTTCAACAATAAGAAGAACACTGAATCGAAATGCCATTAATGGGAGGGTTGCTAGGAAGAAGCCTCTGCTGTCAAAAAAGAACCAAACTGCCCGTCTTAACTTTGCCAGAGACCACCTAGACAAACCTGAAGGTTTCTGGAAGTCCATTCTCTGGACCTATGAGTCCAAAATGAACCTTTTTTGGTCACAATCAACACCGCTATGTTTGGGAAAACTCAACACAGCCTACCACCAAAATAACCTTATCCCAACAGTCAAGCATGGTGGTGGGAATTTTTAAGATCTGGAGCTGCTTTTCCTCCTCTGGACCTGGACGACTCCACATCATTAAGGTAACCATGAATTCTGAGGTATACCAGGAGATTCTTGAACAGAACGTCAGGCCATCAGTCAAGGAGCTAAAGCTCGGCTGAAAATGGGTCTTCCAACAAGACAACGACCCAAAGCATTCAAGCAAATCTACCAAAGAATGGCTCAGGAGAAAGAAGATTTGTGTTTTGGATTGGCCAGGTCAAAGTCCTGACCAAGAACAGAGAGGAGAAAAAAATATAGAAAATCAAAAGATAACTCATCCAAAGGGCTTTGACTTCTCAAACACGGCAGAAAGCTAACACAATATGAAGCCCCGCCACCTTATTAATTCAGCCACTTACTTTTTTGTAAACACAGATTTAAAATGCTTCTTATTGTAATTTCTGCCCTGCATCAGACTAATGTTGTGGTTCAGTTGCACTTCTCCACTCAGAATGCCTGTTTGTGAATTCTTATCTATCAGCAGAGATCTACTATTTCTCTGGAGCGCTCTGACTGATGTGTAGCTACATTTCTCTTGAGCGCTCTGACTGATGTGTATCTACATTTCTCTGGAGAGCTCTGACTGATGTGTATCTACATTTCTCTGGAGCGCTCTGACTGATGTGTATCTACATTTCTCTGGAGCGCTCTGACTGATGTGTAGCTACATTTCTCTGGAGCGCTCTGACTGATGTGTATCTACATTTCTCTGGAGCGCTCTGACTGATGTGTAGCTACATTTCTCTGGAGCGCTCTGACTGATGTGTAGCTACATTTCTCTGGAGCGCTCTGACTGATGTGTAGCTACATTTCTCTGGAGCGCTCTGACTGATGTGTAGCTACATTTCTCTGGAGCGCTCTGACTGATGTGTATCTACATTAACTGATTTCTCTGGTACTTTCTCGGTGTAGCCAGCCTACTTTTCTCTGGTAAAATGCAAGGTTAACTTTAAGCAAAACATTAGGAAATGTAGCTGGCTACATTCTTTCTATGATAAACATTAGAAATATGATGGCCATGCATAGTTTTTGCAAAAAATACCTTGCTTTTTAATTGTAAGCTCATTTTACTTGTGTGGCTGCCAGCAAAAAATAGCGTTGCACATCTGTTGTCATCTGATGAAAATGAAGCTATTTTCTGCTGAATGTGTTGTGCTAATGTATTTTCTGTTAAGGAAAACTATAGTTGCACGTCCCTGATCACTCTATTGAAGCAAAAAAATCACTGTTGACTTTTCTCGGGGCAAAAATGTATGCACGCATGACTAAGTCGCTTTGGATAAAAGCGTCTGCTAAATGACATATATTAATATAAAATGCGACCCCCGTCAATAGGACTCACCTGCTCCCACTTTCTCCCGTTGTGCTATTTACAAACAAACACGTGACTGGCTCACCTGTTCAGGGGAACTACAGTAATCTTCATAATGTGACAGGTGAAATGAAGAACTCGATCTGCTTTATCTCCTAACGTATTGCACAAGTGGACTGCAGGTACTTAAAAAATAGCTACAAATATTGAAATTGATTGAAAAACTACAAATAATTAGTTTAAACAGTATTGACGGTATCGAAAAATCACCCCGTGGCTATTTTCAAATACACGGGTAAACGTGTATTTCGTATATTTTCTTATTTCTTATTGTTGTTGCATTGTCGAGAAGGAACCTGCAAGTAAGCATTTCATTGGTCGATGTATACCATGCGTATCCTGTACATACGACTAATAAAACTTGAAACTAAACTTGAGTGAGAAAATTGCTCTCCACCCTAGTTAACCACTGACAAATAACCATAAAAGACCCACCCAAACAAGATTGGGACCAGCGGTTATATGCTTTGCTTCGGCTTGTAATTCCGTTCTGAGGGGGGGTAGGGACTGACATTCATACTGAAGTAGACATTACAGTGGCTCAACAAGTTCAAAGCCCAGGGTAGCTCTTGAGATTGATTGATTGTTTGTTGTCTAGCTTGTGGTGTAGCTCAAAGGGTATCCCTCCTCCTCTTTTTGTACTGTATAAGGAGGCCTCTCTGGTCTCTCCCTCTCAGGTTTCTCGCTCTGGTCTCTCTCTCTGGTTTCTCTCTCTCTCTCTCCGGTCTCTCGCTGGTCTCTCTCTCGCTGGTCTCTCTCTCCCTCTCGCTGGTTTCTCCCGCTGGTCTCTCTGGCTCTCTCTCTGGCCTCTCTCTATGGTCTCTCCCTCTCTCTCTCTCTGGTTTCTCTCTCCGGTCTCTCCCACTCCCTATCTGGTCTCTCCCTCTGGTCTCTCCCTCTCTCTCTCTCTCTGGTCTCTCCCTCTCCCTCCCTCTGGTCTCTCCCTCTTGTCTCTCTCTGGTCTCTCTCTGGTCTCACCCTCTGGTCTATCTCTGGTCTCTCTCTGGTCTCTCCCTCTGGTCTATCTCTGGTCTCTCCCTTTCTCTCCCTCTGGTCTCTCCCTCTCTCTCTCTGGTCTCTCCCTCTCCCTCCCTCTGGTCTCTCCCTCTGGTCTCTCTCTGGTCTCTCTCTGGTCTCACCCTCTCTCACTCTCTGGTCTCTCATTGTCTCTCTCTCTGGTCTCTCTCTGGTCTCTCCCTCTCCCTCTGGTCTCTCTCTCTGGTCTCTCCCTCTCTCTCTCCCTCTCTCTCTCTGGTCTCTCTCTCTGGTCTATCTCTGGTCTCTCCCTTTCTCACTCTCTGGTCTCTCCTTGTCTCTCTCTGGTCTCTCTCATGTTTTAAATGTGAGTAATTTAGCAGATGGTCTTATCCAGAGTGACTTACAGTCGTAAGTTTAAAAAAAAAAGTGAACCGAACTCCAATTCAAATGTAAATGTTTTCCTCATTGAAAAGCATTGAAGAGAATTTGAATTTTAGTGTACTTCCTGAATTGACTGGAATTGAAATAGAATTGACCCCAATCCTGGTAAGTGCATACATTTTTGGACTCTCTCGCTCTCTACCTCTCTCTAGCTCTCACCCTCCCTCTCTCCCTCTTTCTGCTCTGGGCCCAGCTGTGAGTTGAAGAGTGTTTGACTGGCATGGCCCACAGCCTTCATCTCCCTCCAGCAGGACCCCTCCCTAGAGCTGCCGGGAAACCGGAGGAGAAGGGACAGAAGGAGGGAGGGAGAGAGGGGAGGAGCGCTGAGAAATGCTGACATCTACACCCTCAAGCTCTGACGCTAGAGTTGCCATAGAACCCTCCCACCCACCTCCAGTTTTTCTAAAGACCCTAGCCCGGACCCACAACGTTTCTCAATCTCCCAGAAACAGTCACACAACGTTTAGCCTAGACTCCCACTCCACTCAGTCTGTTTTGTTTATTTTTTAAATAATCTCTCTGTGTTGTTACTGAAATCCCCCGGAATGAGACTCGCTGAACCAGATGGGGGAGTCATCCAGTGTTCTCACACACACTCTCCCACAGATGTCTCTCTCATCATAAAATGCGCACAATTGATTCTGTCTTTGCACAGATGCCCTCTGATCAAGAAGAGATGATGATGGATTAGGACATGAATCATAATGTATATTTGTAAAAGCCCCAGAGGTTAGGAAAACACCAGGACACTGTCTGTATTGTTGAAACGGCCTGACGGACTGTTTGGGTGGAACATTGTTTACCCAATCGACTGTTCGGTTGTACCGCAAACAGATGATGATTGTGTTTTTTCGCTACCATATATGGCATTATAGAGTGTGGATGGAAACCAAACCACAATGACAAAATGACACTCCTTAGTGATGTTCTCGATAACACTGTGATTTTGGACCTCCCACGTATTGTCTGAAACCTGTTAGGTCTATAGTAGCCTACCTTGCATTATGTAGATTCGCATTCAGCGATTTTGCTGTCAACTCTGTCAACTCTGTCCTACCTCTTTAAGGAATACCTGGGATAGTATAAAAGTAATCCTTCTCCCCACCCCACCCCCCCAAAACAATTTTTTTTTAAGAAGAAATTAAGAATTTAAAAAGTAGAAAAATATAAAAATAAAACATTGTAAAGTGGTTGTCCCACTGGCTATCATAAGGTGAATGCACCAATTTGTAAGTCGCTCTGGATAAGAGCGTCTGCTAAATGTAAATGTAACTCCTTCTAACCAGCTGAGATCACAGCCACAGATGGAACACTCCCAACTGGTAGTTCATTGTTTACATTCCTCCAGATGACATTGTACACGTGCACTTTAAGTGGGCAGCTCACTGTGTTGGCCAAGGCTATGTAGGGGAAAGGAGGCCTATCTGTGCTTCTCAGACAAAGACCCCCAATTGACGTCTGAACAATGGAGCGGGCAGTGCACACAACAGCGTTCTGCCCTGGAGGATGGCACAATGGCTCCTTATCTAGTGCCAGGGGAGGTGCCACCAGCCAGCCTGCCAGGCTACCAGCCTGCCCACCACTTCCACAGGTCCCCGGGCATGGGCACACGATGCCAACCTGGGCACACGAGCACAGCGTCTCGGTGTCACCCATGCCCAGTGGCGCGTGACATGACGACATTCACACATGGCTGGCTGCAGGAGAATGAGCTAATCACCGCCTGTGTTGACCTGTCAGAGAATTAGCTGTGGTTGTTGGGGTAGAGATTGATTGTAGTGTACTCTAATGTGTACTTTAATTAAGCTCTCGGCCTCTTTCATTTGTTCTCTCAGTTCTCATTTAATATCTAAAGCCGTCGTTCTCTGCTCTTCTGTCTGTCTGTCTGTCTGTCTGTCTCGGTGTGTCAGCTGGAACACTGATTAGATTACAATCAGCTCTGTGTGTGTTTGGCCAGTTCTTCAACAACCATTGTGTGTATGTTGTGGCTTACCTCAATTGCTCTGTCAATGTTTGTATGTTGCTCAGTTCAGTGTTTATTATTTTAAGCATGACCAATGCCCAGCACATCATGACAATATCAATAGGCTTATATCTAACAACACAAAATTGGTTGCTTTATCTGATATACAATCAAACAGGATTCCAAAAACATTATATAAATCGGAAAATCCCCATCATTTCACTGACTGTAGGTAGAGATTACCAAGCCAAAAGTCCATATTCATCAGAAGCCAAGGTTTCTTTCCAGGGACTCTGCACAAAGGGCAGTGCTGTAGCAAAGGTGATTATTGTCCTAAGATCTTAATTACGAAAACCAGGTCTTTGAAATACTGTAAAATGGGATATTGTCTTAGTAACTTACCTGGCTATATCACATAAATACATAAATACAGAGTTTCACAGTCTGGAAAAGCAGTCATCCTGAAGCTGTATAGCTGTATTCCAATGTCTGTTAGTGTAGGCTCCTGGAACCCAGGGCCGCCAGGAGGAACCCAGAGGCCAAAGCAGAGGTAGGCTTGGCCGGGGTGCAGCTGAGAAGAAAGGCCCTATTCTTCTGAATAGGGGGAGAGACCCTGGTCCAGAGGAGGAAGGAAGTGAGGCAGGCAGAGAGAGAGAAGGCCCAGATCAGCCCCAGTCAGCTCCTCTCTCTGCGTTCTGCACAGCTCTAGGATCAGTGTCTTATGCTGCATAATGGTGTAGCCCTTGGAGTTGGACCTACCAAGACCATGTTCCTGGTAGCATCCATGCATGCATACATGCATTCCTCCTAGGCTGCAGATCAGTATAGAAAGCTATCAGTGTCTGAAGCATTGTTGTGTTGAAGGGGGGATTGAGATATAGAGAGGGATGCATCATTCTACAGTGATGGAGGTCCTCTTTGTTTAGATAGGGCGGCAGATAGCCTAGCAGTTAGAGCATTGGGCCAGTAACCGAAAGGTCGCTGATTCAAATACCCGAGCAGACAAGGTGAAACATCTGACGTGCCCTTGAACAAGGCACTTAACCCCATACTACTATGACTGACCCTGTAAAACAACACATTTCACTGCACCTATCTGGTGTATGTGACAATAAAACTTTTATTTTTATATAGTCTTACATAGAGAGCAGGGAACTAATGTAATCTGTTGCTCAGTGCTAGATTATGTTACCTCTGCACAAAGTCATAAAGGGTAGTCAAGGGTTATGATGAGAGTGAGAGCCGATTGCTTGGTTGTCCAAACATGACCTGGTATAGTCTCTGCTGTTTTTTTGTGTGCTAAAATGTTACATTTGACTGAAATACCTGCACTTCTGACCTGCATTTGTAGTGCCGTTATTACAATATGTTTTAAATATGTGCCTTTTTCAAAGTGTATACATTCTCCTCCAAAATGTTGAAAGAAATGTACCCGTCCATTTCCTGTAACATTTTTTTTATTTTTTTTATTTCACCTTAATTTAACCAGGTAAGCCAGTTGAGAACAAGTTCTCATTTACAACTGCGACCTGGCCAAGATAAAGCATAGCAGTGCGATAAAAACAACAACACAGAGTTACATATGGGGTAAAAAAACATAAAGTCAAAAAATACAACAGAAAATATATATACAGTGTGTGCAAATGTAGCAAGTTATGGAGGTAAGGCGATCTTATGAATCAGCAGTGTAGCATCTTGTTGTCAGGTGAGATGATGATGAGTTGACAATGCTCGTTGTCTCATGTGGCTGCAGGTTTGAGAAGGGCCGTATCTACACCTACATCGGCGAGGTGGTGGTGTCGGTTAACCCTTACCGCGCCATGAACATCTACGGTCGAGACACCATAGAGCAGTACAAGGGCCGGGAGCTGTACGAGCGACCGCCACATCTCTTTGCCATCGCAGACGCAGCTTACAAAGCCATGAAGAGGAGGAACAAGGACACCTGTATCGTCATCTCAGGTAACGGGGGAAGCCCCCAAAAACGTCCAATCAAATCAATTTTGTCTATTGAATTAATTGGAGCATAGAAATACACAACATAGTAGGAGATTATAATGGCTCATGCATGCTTATAAGAACTCCTGAGTGGCGCAGTGGTCTAAGGCACTGCATCGCAGTGCTAACTGTGCCACTAGAGATCCTGGTTCGAATCCAGGCTCCGTCGCAGCCGGCCGTGACCGGGAGACTCATGGGCGGCGCACAATTGGCCCAGCGTCGTCCAGGGTAGGGGAGGGAATGGCCGGCAGGGATGTAGCTCAGTTGATAGAGCATGGCGTTTGCCATTTTTTACTGGGGGCCAGTATTAAAAAAAAAAAAGGTATTCACTAACTGTAAGTCGCTCTGGATAAGAGCGTCTGCTAAATGACTAAAATGTAAATGTAAATGTAAGAAGTAATACCCGTACATAACACTGGTTCAGGTCAAGTCATGTCTTCCTGGATGCCAACTTTAGTGTTTGTTTGAAAATGTAGCTTTAAAGTGTCAAATATTCTCTCAAAATATTGATGTCATGTCTGACTTTTGCTCTAATGTTTTCTGTCTGGAGTAATGTGAGTTTGTCATTTCGCTGGCGAGCCTTTTGGGGAAATCAATATGAAAATAGCAGGACCAATTCGTCACCTTCTTTCTAAGAAAACATTGAAGTGGCCACGAACTGTGACAGCATGGTGAAACTATTTAGTTGATAAAGTGCCACTTAGTGGTGAAGAGAGGAATATTCTGTATCAAAAGGCATAAATCCCAAAACTCACCCTAAAGAAGCCTGTGTTAATGTAGATGACAATTTAGAGGTTCTTATTGGATTCACTGGCACTTTATAACAAAAATCGTAAAAATGTTTCATTGCAGGGGAGAGTGGTGCCGGAAAGACAGAAGCTAGCAAATACATCATGCAATACATTGCTGCTATCACAAACCCCGGGCAAAGAGCTGAGGTCGAAAGGTGAGAAATTCTGCCATTCTTCTGTGGGAAGTTGCCATTTTAACATTCTCAGAATGTCCATACTAAAGACCTGTGAATGCAGAAGTAATCAGAAATTGTTTGCATTCCCAGGAGTATGATAAACTAAAGGTCAAGGTAGTTGTCACCAAATCACCCGTGGTATGCACTGGGAGTGTTTCTGCTAGATGGAGAAGAAATGCCTCTATCGCCATCGAGAATGTGATCATTCGGGACACATTTTTTAGTAAGAGTGCGTTGCTTGCCATGCGATAAGAGGAATATTGGTTGAAGGTAGGCTTGGGCAATATACCGTTCATACCGTATACCGCGGTATTTCAAAATGTTCAATACCGTTAAAAAAAATACCGCCTTACGGGGGTGCGTGCTACGCCACTGCTTATAACTAACTATAAGTGAAATATAACTATAACAAAACAAATCTAAGGTGTCAAATAAATGATATCCAGCTCAGGGCTCCAACTATGCATTTGGTTTGCTAACTTGCTAGATGTCAAGATCAAGCTTCTTGGTTACAGCACAGACATTTTTTATTTGTTTTGAAATAGCGCCCCCTTGTGTGCACATTCCATAATACCATATACACCGGCATGGTACAGAAACGGTATGACAGTATGAAAATCTGGATACCGCCCAACCCTAGTTGAAGGTTAGGGCAGGAAAAGAATGGGTGAGGTTGTACTTAACAACAGGAATATTTGGTGCAGAGAGAGAGAGGATAACCTATAGAAGATATACAGGAGAACACATGGAACGCGTTGCCACGGGAATTTTGCACGTACCTGTGGTGTATTTAAGTGATAATGCCAGAGAAGCCGGCGTTTGGAGGATGTACAGTGAGGGAAAAAAGTATTTGATCCCCTGCTGATTTTGTGCGTTTGCCCACTGACAAAGACATGATCAGTCTAAAATTTTAATGGTAGGTTTATTTGAACAGTGAGAGACAGAATAACAACAACAAAATCTAGAAAAACGCATGTCAAAAATTTTATAAATTGATTTGCATTTTAATGAGGGAAATAAGTATTTGACCCCTCTGCAAAACATGACTTAGTACTTGGTGGCAAAACCCTTGTTGGCAATCACAGAGGTCAGACGTTTCTTGTAGTTGGCCACCAGGTTTGCACACATCTCAGGAGGGATTTTGTTCCACTCCTCTTTGCAGATCTTCTCCAAGTCATTAAGGTTTCGAGGCTGACATTTGGCAACTCGAACCTTCAGCTCCCTCCACAGATGTTTTATGGGATTAAGGTCTGGAAACTGGCTAGGCCACTCCATGACCTTAATATGCTTCTTCTTGAGCCACTCCTTTGTTGCCTTGGCCGTGTGTTTTGGGTCATTGTCATGCTGGAATACCCATCCACGACCCATTTTCAATCCCCTGGCTGAGGGAAGGAGGTTCTCACCCAAGATTTGACGGTACATGGCCCCGTCCATCATCCCTTTGATGCGGTGAAGTTGTCCCCTTAGCAGACAAACACCCCCAAAGCATAATGTTTCCACCTCCGTGTCTGACGGTGGGGATGGTGTTCTTGGGGTCATAGGCAGCATTCCTCCTCCTCCAAACACGGCGTGTTGAGTTGATGCCAAAGAGTTCGATTTTGGTCTCATCTGACCACAACACTTTCACCCAGTTCTCCTCTGAATCATTCAGATGTTCATTGGCAAACTTCAGATGGCCCTGTATATGTGCTTTCTTGAGCAGGGGGATCTTACGATGGGCCTCCGCAGTGCATACACGTAGCCTACAGTTCTTCATCGTTCTCGCCAGAGAAGACAGGGAAGAAACCACCAATTTACCTCTAGGCTGCTATACATATTTGTTTAGTTTGTCATTCTAACTCTGTGTATTCTCAAATTGAAAAAAGTGAGGGAGCGACACTCCTCCGCGCTCCGGCAGCACTACACCCCTGCCTATCAGGTCATTACTAGTTATTACCCCTGTTATCATTTCTACATTGGCTCAAAGATCAAAGCTCAGCTGAATGAATGCTTTATAACCCTCCTTATGACACGCATATGTTTGGCACACACCGCTCGTAATAAAATCCCAGAAATAGGGCTGTTAATGGCATTTTAGTGCTGAATATATTGCCCTTGACCCACAACATCTTCCCTGTAGCCATTTTAAAGGAGTAAAACTGTAGTTTTGTGTTAGTATCACTGAGAACATTTGTTGCCTCTCTCTCTCCAGGGTGAAAAACATGCTGCTGAAATCCAATTGTGTCCTAGAGGCCTTCGGCAACGCCAAGACCAACCGCAACGACAACTCCAGCCGCTTCGGCAAGTACATGGACATAAACTTTGACTTCAAGGGAGATCCCATTGGGGGCCACATCAACAACTACCTGCTGGAGAAGGTAGGGGGCGCTAGAAAGAATTGTTTTATTCCCAATGAGATCACCTTTATAGATAAAGATAAATTATATTTCACTCTGAATCAATTAAACTAAATCGGTTTCTCTTACAGTCCAGAGTCATCTTCCAGCAGGAGGGGGAGAGAAGCTTCCACTCATTCTACCAGGTGTGTGTAAGCGTTTACGTGTGTGTGTGTGTGTGTGTGTGTGTGTGTGTGTGTGTGTGTGTGTTTGTTACACGCCAGACTGATGCCACCATAAGCTGCTATACAGACCAGATGGTCTGTGACTGTGTTAATCATAAAGGCATGGTGATATCATAGATTTTACAGCTCCATGCTGTCAGTTGAAAATATATATATCCATCTTCTCACCCCATTAACTCCACAAATAAACATCCATATTTCTCACTCCATAAACTACCCATTCTTAACGGACTTCACCCTCCATTGGTCTGGTCTCATTATTGATCAAGATAATTATTTTCCTTTGCTCCGTTTTACTGTGGAGTTATATATGATTAACAGCAACATTAAAATTAAATGGGGGGCAGCAGGTAGCTTAGCTGTTAAGAGCATTGAGCCAGTAACCAAAAAGTTGCTGGTTCGAATCCCTAAGCCGACTAGGTGAACAATCTGTCTGTGCCCTTGAGCAAGGCAATTAACCCTAATTCCTCCTGTAAGTCGCTAAATGTAAATGGTTTAGAATGTAAATACTGAACAGTTCTTGGCATGTGTCACTACTGACTCTGTGTCTCTCTTTCTCGCTCCGTTTTCTTCAGATGGTTAAAGGGGGTCCTGAGTCTCTCTTGCGGTCCCTCCATGTCTCGAAGGACCCCGCAGCCTACAACTACATCAAAGTGGGAGGCCACGTCAAGGTACTGTAGGTTACTACAGAACTATATCTACTTTGACCCCTTACTTTACATAAACAGTCACAAAAACAAGTACTAGACAGAGAATGTCACTATCATACTGTGTTTATTTGGTCACACTGTTTATTTTCTCAGGAATAAAGATACACAAGCCCAGCTATTAACACATCGTTTAATTAAAGCAGGCATGTCCGTTCTGCTGTCTCTGCACTTGAAGCTTAATTAGTAGGAACAAAACAATATTTTATAGCAACAAACAACGTGACGTCATGGAACAGAACAGAGCTAGGGCCCAAACTGCTGAAGTGGTTTGTACATGGTCCAATTTTTATAGGAATAGCCCCCGACTGACACTCACACTGTTCTGTCTTGAAGAAATTTGTGGTCATCTAGTGATTCCTACTGTATGACTTTGGCTGCTGGGAGGGGAAACATGTTAGGAATGAACTCGTCCTTGCCAAAGTGAGGAAGTGGTGTACTTGGCCAGTGTTACAGACTGATCAAAAGTAGATATCAAGTAAATATCTTGACTAAATTCACGACACTAGCCGGAAGTTTTCCTTCAAAATGGACTAAATGTAACGTGTTTTGTGTGAAATTAGGGGACAAACACTGTCCTATTGTAGCCAGTTTGATTGTTCTATTCCTCCATCTCCCTCCTTTCTCTCTCTCCCTGTCACAGTCGTCCATTAACGATGGTGCTGATTTCAAAGCAGTGGCAGACGCCATGAAGGTGATCGGCTTCACAGCAGATGAGCTCCAGACGGTTTACAAGGTCCTGGCCACTATCCTGCACCTGGTAATACCCCATAATAATTCCTAGCTCTATTGGCCTGCCAGCAGGGTTAGCATAGGTTAAAATGAAACGGGGTTAAAAGTACAGTCACTAGTGAAAGTCTACACATCCCTTGTACAGTCTTCATATTTTGCAGCCTTAAAATTACATTAGATTTTTTTCCTATCGATCTACACAACCTACTCCACATTTTCAATGTGAAAGAAAAATTCTAAAAAATATTCAACATTTCTAAGAAATACAAAATGAGGATGTATTGCTTGCGTATGTCTTCACATCCCAGTTAATACTTGGTGGAATAACCTTTGGCACACATTGCAGTTGTGAATCATTTTGAATAAGATTATACCAACCTTGCTCCACTCTTAGGGCAACATACTGTGTGTCCATTGTTTTTGTCAAAATTGCTCAAGCTCAAAAAATTTGGTTGGGAATCATTGATGGACAGCAATATTCAAACCTTGTCTCTGATTTTTTTTAAACAGATTTAAGTCAGGAAAGAGACTGGACCATTCAGACTGGAGTATTTGCAACAAGGTCGTTAAATAATACTGCAAGACAACTCAGCAAAGACTAACTTTTTGGCCTAAATTAAAAACTACAGATTTGGGTAAAATATTATACAACACAACACAGAGTGAAACCCTCTGTATTGTGGTGGAAGCATCATGTTATGGGTATGCTTGTCATCGACAAGGACTGGGGAGTTTGTCAGTTAAAGGAAAGCCCACCTCAGTCTTCTGAAAACCTAACCCTGGGATAGAGTTTTATTTTGCAGTGAGACAATTGCACACATTTTTATCTAAAGTTACACCAGAATGGCTTTCCAAGTGGTGTTAAGTATTCCTGTGTGGTCTAGTCTCAGTCCTGACTTAAATTTGCTTGAAAATCAGAGACAAGGTTTGAATATTGCTGGCCATCAATGATTCCCAACTAAATGTAATGTGCTTAACTGAGACATTTGGACGAAAACAATGGACATATGTCGCCCTAAGAGTTGTGCAAAGTTGGTAGAATATTATTAGAAAATAATTCACAGCTGTAATGGCTGCCAAAGGAGCTTCCACCAAGTGCCAACTCTGGGGTGTGAAGACATACGCAATCAGGACATCTTTGTTTTTTATATATTAATGTGGGAAATGTTCTACATTTCTTTCAATTTGCGAATGTGGAGTAGGTTGTGTAGATCTTTAAAATAAAAATAATGTTATCCCTTTTTAGATGTATTTTTAAGGCAGAAAAATGTGAAGACTGTGCAAAGGGTGTGTAGACTTTCTCTAGACACTGTATACTCAGCAATATGTCATCATCATTTACTGTGTGGTGACTTCTTGTTGTGTAATGAGTCACCTTTCAAATGGAACAGATTTGAATGAAACGGCATTGAATGGAAACAGTCCAGCCCTTTGTTTGTGCTATTCTCCTCCCCTTTTCTCCAACGCTATTACTCCACATAGTCTCTTTAGTTTACAGTTTACTTCCTGTATTTACTTCCATGTGACCTCTCCCAGGGCAACCTGACGTTTGGTGTGGACGGTGACACAACGCTGATTGAGAATTCCAAGGTGGTGGCGATGATCGGGGACCTGCTGGCCACTAAGGAGGAGAATGTTGAGAAGGCCCTGCTCTACCGCACCGTGGCCACCGGCCGTGACGTCATTGACAAGCAGCACACGGCCCAGGAGGCCAGCTACGGCCGGGACGCCTTGGCTAAGGTAGCTAATGCTAGTACGCTATGTTAACCGATGCACAGTTAACTGTCAACATGCTGATTCTTAGCTAAGGTAGCTATCTAGCGCGCTTTTTCTTTTTATAAGAAACATTCATGTGTTGAAAATCCCTAATTGTTTGCATAGTCAACTTACACACAGTTCTGACACACACACTTACCCCATCAGACATGCCACCAGGGGTCTTTACACAGCCCCCAAATCCAGAACAAATTCAAGAAAGCGTACAGTATTATATAGAGCCATTATTGCATGGAACTCCGTTCCATCTCATATTGCTCAAATAAACAGCTAACCTGGTTTCAAAAAACAGATAAAGCAACACCTCACGGCACAACGCCTCTCCCATATTTGACCTAGATAGTTTGTGTGTATGTATTGATATGTAGGCTACATGTGCCTTTAAAAAAATGTATGTAGTTATGTCCTTGAGCTGTTCTTGTCTTTTAATGTTCTGTATTACATTTACATTTTAGTCATTTAGCAGACGCTCTTATCCAGAGCGACTTACAGTTAGTGAGTGCATACATTTTCATACTGGCCCCCCGTGGGAAACGAACCCACAACCCTGGCGTTGCAAGCGCCATGCTCTACCAACTGAGCTACAGGGGACTGTATTATGTCATGTTTCATGTTTTGTGTGGACCCCAGGAAGAGTAGCTGCTGCTTTTGCAACAGCTAATGGGGATCTTAATAAATACAAAATACACTAATTTGCCGCTTCGTGCACAGCAGCTAATGCTAACTCTCGATAATAATGCTAACTCTCAATGATAATGCTAACCCTCAATGATAATGCTAACCCTCAATGATAATGCTAACTCTCAATGATAATGCTAACTCTCAATGATAATACCAACTCTCAATGATAATACCAACTCTCAATGATAATACCAACTCTCAATGATAATACCAACTCTCAATGATAATGCCAACTCTCAATGATAATGCCAACTCTCAATGATAATGCCAACTCTCAATGATAATACCAACTCTCAATGATAATACCAACTCTCAATGATAATGCTAACAAGAAGGGTTTGTGAAATGGGCTAAATGTTGATTTAGACGTGGTAGTCCTACCCAGTTTTTAAAGTAACCAGTGTAACATATTATGAATGCTTCTGCGTAAAAGAGGAACCAGTGTATGTATGTAGGCTGACTAAGGAATGCAATTAACTCTGCTTTCTCATCTGATCTTGGTCTACTGTTGTCTGCCTTGGTGTTGGGGCTTGTGACCAACAGGCTATGTATGAAAGAATGTTCTGTTGGATCGTGGGAAGGATCAATGATGTCATCGAAGTAAATAACTACGACGCCAAAGTCCACGGGAAGAACACGGTCATCGGCGTGCTGGACATCTACGGCTTTGAGATCTTTCAGAACAACAGGTTAGGAGCTGTGTCCACTAGAAATATATCAACATAGAATGTACTTCAGTATGGAACGTCTACTTGAGTTAGTCTTGTTTCTTATACATCAATATGAAATGTACTGGCTTTATACACATTTAGTGTCAATCTCTCTGTCATGACACTTAGTTGATTTGTATGTAACACAGCATAAAGCATTTATGGTCTAGTTAAATTTAAACCAGGGTCACAGTCATTCACTCACCTGTCTGCCTGTCTGCCTGTCTGTCTGTCTGTCTGTCTGTCTGTCAGCTTTGAGCAGTTCTGTATTAACTACTGTAATGAGAAGCTGCAGCAGCTCTTCATTCAGCTGGTGCTGAGGCAGGAACAGGAAGAGTACCAGCGCGAGGGAATCCCCTGGAAACATGTAAGGCTGCATCTTGGTTCCACACCACTCATGTCTTGTATCGCCTACTGCAGAATTGTCACTTTGCCTTAAGTCATTCTCCTTCCATTGAATATGTCTACCAGGAGCTTCTTCCTCCCTGTACTGGTTTTAGTTGTAATGATATACTGATCCCCTGTTTTCTCTCTGTACCTGGGCGTAGATTGACTACTTCAACAACCAGATCATTGTGGACCTGGTGGAGCTGCAACACAAGGGCATCTTCTCTGTGCTGGACGAGGCCTGTATGAACGTGGGAAAAGTCACAGACAAGGTCTTCCTACAGGGACTCAACACCAAGCTGGCCAATCACGCCCACTACACCAGCCGCAAGGTACGTTGGAAACAAAAGGAAATAATTTTCAATTCATTAATTTAATTTAAATTAATTTCCTGTATTGACTGAATTGAAAGTGGAATTCACCTCAACAATGTGGACACATGGATATGATCTCCCTAGGCTTGATGCACCAATGGGTTTCTTCTTTCCACAGGGCATAGTGGTAACCTTAGAACAACATTAGCGATTTATAAAACATTTGTGATTTTAAAGGCTTGTTCCCAGTAATTATAAAGTAATGCTATTAGCCCAACAACCAAGCCCAGTGATTTTAAAACATAAGACGAGACATATACTGTATAATTTGGTTAGTTTCAATTATCAGCTCCATCAAATCCTGTTTAAAGTCTAATTGGCATTAAAGCCATTGTACACCACCAGACTAAGAAAAACTAATTTATCTGCACATCTGTTCCCCAGTGGCTCAGAAGGCTGCATTTTACAGGGTAGTATTTCACTCAGTGGACCACAAGAGGGCAACATGCGTCAGAGAAATGAGTGCAGGTCTATCTGACTCAACACTCTGTCCCCAGTGATGTCACTGACAGCCAATAGGAGTCAATGGAGAGGGCGTCTTGCTGCGCTGGCATGGGTGTTGGAGGGAGGGAGGGAGGGAGAGAGCGAGAGAGGGAGAAGAGAATGGAAGAGACAGAATCATAACAAGAGGAACAGATGGAGAGGAGGGGAGGTACAAGGTAAAGATAGAGGACATATCACTGACAAACAGGTTGTTTTACCCTAAACTTCCTAGACTGTGTTATGTGTCATCACCTTAGCTGTTTCTCTATGACAGGGTTCCCCAATTGGCAGCCAGTTGATTATTATTCCCCCCCCCCCAAAGTTTTCTTGTTTGACTTAAAAGACTGTAGAAACACCAGAAAATCAGCTCCAAGTGATTTTAATTTAGGAAATCAAATCTGTTCCAAAGTATTCCCACGCATAATAGAGATACAAACACTCACCGGCCAGTTTATTAGGTGCACCACACCGTTCACGAACATTGATTGCTCCTTCAGACAGTGAGTCACGTGGCTGTGGCTTGCTATATAAAGCAGATGGGCATCGAGGCATTCAGTTACTGTTCGTTTGAACGTTAGAATGGGAAAAATGAGTGACTTAAGCGACTTTAAGTGTGGTATGATTGTCAGTGCCAAGCGCACCGGATCCAATATCTCAGAAACGGCTGCCCTCCTGGGCTTTTCACACATCACAGTGTCTAGGGTTTACCGAGAATGGTGCTACAAACAAAAAACATCCAGTCAAGGGCAGTCCTGTGGGCAAAAACAGCTAATTGATGAAAGAGGTCGAAGGAGAATGGCAGGAATCGTGCAAGCTAACAGGCGGGCCACAAACAGACAAATAACGGTGCAGTACAACAGTGGTGTGCAGAACGGCATCTCGGAACGCACAACTCGTCCATCCTTGTCACGGTTGGGCTATTGCAGCAGAACGACCACACCGGGTTCCACTCCTATCAGCTAAAAACAAAAAGACGCGGCTCCAGTGGGCACGGGATCACCAACACTGGACAATTGAGGAGTGGAAAAACATGGCCTGGTCCAACGAATCCCGGTTCCTGTTGCGTCATGCTGATGGCAGCGTCAGGATTTGGCGTAAGCAGCATGAGTCCATGGACCCATCCTGCCTGGTACAGCCTGGTGGCGATGGTGTTCTGGTGTAGGGAATGTTTTCCTGGCACACGTTAGGTCCCTTGATACCAATTGAGCAACGAACATTTCCGACACATTGTAGAATCCATGCCCCGAAGAATTCAGGCAGTTCTGGAGGCAAAGGGGGGTCAGACCCGGTACTAGATTGGTGTACCTAATAAACTGGCCGGTGACTGTATGTGATCTTGTACAAATGTAAGCAAGGTTTGATATGATTATGTTTTAGTCCAATATTATATCTGTTTGTGCTTCTTGCGGTCAATTTGCAGTCTACAAATGATTTGTAATTATGTTCCGGCCCCCTGAAAGTCTATTCACTAAAATAAATATTGTCCTGCAGCTGAATCTAGTTGATGTTCCCTGCTCCATACAAAGACCGTACATTGGGCAATGCTACTAGCCAAGGTCTCATTCAGTCCAATCACTCCAATGGGTAAAGATATAGACTGCATTCCCCTTCAAGTGAATAAAGCGATCGTTACATCTATGCGCCATTCATCTAGTCATAGACCAAGTCAAAGATTAGCTTAATGCTGAGGCCTTGAGGGCTGGCAGCCAGATGGCTATCATACCATATGTTTTTTTGTGTTAATGTGTATGCGTGTGTGCGTTTTTGTGTGCATGTGTCCCTGTGTGTGTGTGTGTGTGTGTGTGTGTGCGCGCACAGCCCTCTGCAGAGATAACACACCTAGCGCTAGGCTAATGTGTGCTAGAGTACACAGTCCCCATAGACTCCAGTGGAGAAGATTGACAGGCAGAGAATGAGAGAACATAAGAATAAGGATGCTACCTGATTATGTGGATGTCTTTTTCCATAATGTAGTTATGCTATCAGCCACGATCTGGTTAGACATAGTGAAAATGCTTGACTCTCATTGTTATCAGGAGAAAAAAAACTAAAAGGTTACTTTTAAAAGTGGGATTTATTGCAAAAGCATAACTGAAAATGCTCTAAGGCTCATCCCTGGTGCATTGTCGGGATACATTTTTAGATTCACACTTCACGCCCCATACTCTACAAGCAGCTCTGCTCTAAAAGTTTTGAAATGTTCACGGCTGCCAGGTTCATTGGGCACAGACTCTGCAGACTTGAAAGACCTCAAGCAGTTTTTTATCATTGCAGTTCTTGTTGGAGATCTTCTCAAGTAAGTGTGTGTGTGGGGGGTGGGGGGGGGGGGGGAGAGGGAGAGAGAGAAGCAGTGCTATCAGAGTGGATTAGCCTGTTATAAGATCTGCACTGTCTGTCAGCACTAATGTTGTCACCCTATTTTTTATGAAGAGGTCCTGGAGCTGCTAGACACCAAGCTCCTCTCTGTAAACACTCTGACAACACACACACACACACTGTTACACCCCTTGGTAAAAGACCTCACACTCCAGATCAGATAGAATGTGGAAATGAAGAAGCGTCTTGATCAGTGGCGGCGTCTTCAGGCGCATCTTGGCTTTTAAAGCTCCTCCAGACCTAGAGACTTGTTATGTTGTCTAATAAAAATATCCCTTTTAAAAGTCCCTGTTATTGGTTTTCAGTCTTGTCAGGGCTGTTATGTATGAATCAAGGGGTGTTTGAAGCTGTGGATCTGGGTTGTTGTTTACACAGACCTCTCACTTAGATGAAACTACTAGATGTAATTGATATAATGGGCCAGGACGTTTAGGTGGATGGTTATTTGGTCACGGCATCCCTCTTTGTGGTGTGCCAGGAGTGGTTACTTACTGACAACTGAATGATAGAACTTTGAAGAAGTTTTAAACGGACTGCAGTTATTCTAGCTATATAAAGGTTTAGGAAACGCTTCCCTGCTTCTCCTCGAACTGCTTATGTCGATACTTAGCTTGGCTGATGTGGTACACAGTGAGGGAGAGCTGTGACACGCTGGTCTAGACAGGAGTCTGTTGTTAGTGCAGTATTCACGAAGAAGGGGGTTGAGACCTCTCGCTGTTTGGATTTGAAAATCCAACAGTTGTATTGGAAGGGTGCGGCGCTCGGGGGCTGTGTGTGTCTGTCCAAGTGGGTGTTTAAGTTAGAAAGACACAGAGGAGAACCAATCAATAACAAATAGCCTTTCCAGACTCTGAAGTAACAAGGACATCAAGTTAGGTGTCAGCCAGACTAGTTGATACCATACTCAAATTTCGAATCTCCCAATTTGCTGTCCGACTCGTATGCCTTCTCTTGTGCACGTTGTAAGGTCGTACTCCTGTAATACCATGTCTTTATATATGCTAGGAATTAATTATTTTTATGGGCTACTTTTCTACATAACTAAGGAATTAACATGGTCCACTCACACCAACACAGTCGTGAAGAGGGCACGACAACACCTCTTCCCCTCTCATGAGGCTGAAAATATTTGGCATGGGCCCTTTGCAAGATCTCCGGTTCCAACACAATGGCTTTTTACCTCTCAATGCATCATATTCTTGATATGACGTTTGAACTTCTCCTAGAAGTGGGTGCTTAGTTTATACACTGAGTATACAGAACATTAAGAACAGCTGCTCTTTCCATGACATAGACTGACTGACCATATGAAAGCTATGATCCCTTATTGATGTCACTTGTTAAATCCACTTCAAACAGAGTAGATGAAGGGGAGGAGACAGGTTAAAGGATTTTTAAGCCTTGAGACAATTGGGACATGGATTGTGTATGTGTGCCATTCAGAGGGTGAATTGGCAAGACAAAAGATTTGAACGGGGTATGGTAATAGGTATCAGGCGCACCGGTTTGTGTCAAGAACTGCAATGCTGCTGGGTTTTTCACACTCAAAAGTTTCCCGTGTGTATCAAGAATGGTCCACCACCCAAAGGACATCCAGCCAACTTCACACAACTGTGGGAAGTATTGGAGTCAACATGGGCCACCATCCCTGTGGAACGCTTTCGACACCTTATAGAGTCCATGCCCAAACAAATTGAGGCTGTTCTAAGGGCAAAAGGGGGGATGCAACTCAATATTAGGAAGGTGTTCCTAATGTTTAGTATACTCAGTTGTATATCTGTTTCTGTTTTTAAAAAGTAATAATATGCAGTCTAGAGAGGTAATGTTGTGAGAGAGTAAATACCATGACAGCTGCAGCGGGTGAGGTGGCCGTGAAACAGCACCATCCATCTCCCTGTGTCCTGATTGGCTCCTGTGGTGAGTGATTGACCGGTTTGGAGCCAGTCAGTCGGGCCGCCTGGTGTGTTTACCCTGCAGGTGCCAGCTTAGTCAGTGGGCGGGGGAGCGAGGCACAGGTGGTGAACAGGATGGGGGTGGAGGTGGCAGAGGAGAGGAGAGGTGCTGTAGGGAGGGCGAGATTTAGGCAGGAGGACAAGGGACAGCAGGTGTTAGGGTGATCAGAGGGGTCTCTGCTATAAAGCTGTTCATCCATTTACAAAACAGGCTATCGCCCTAGTATGACTACAAATGTATGACCTCGTTTTCTCTGAGTTGTACAGATATGAATGGCCAACATGCTCACATACTGTTTAAATCAGAGAATGTTCAGTGCTTTTGTGTACAGGTGCAGTGTCGTTCTCAAAGGAATGAATGTGGAACTAAAGATCCAATAGGCAAAAGGCAAGGGAACTTATGCCAAGGGATTACAGTCTGTGTACACATGACTGTGATACAGGCACAATCGACCTGTTCTGAACCTGTTTTGGATCCAACTAATACCTTATATGTTCTATCTGTCCCATATCTACATGTGAAGAACCCAATATCCCCCCCCCCCCCCCCCCCCCCCCCCACTCAAAACATTGTCTCCATCTTCACTCTCTTCTCATTTCTTTTCTAGTAAAAGAGTAATTTGAAGGTGTTAAATGCTATATCCCCTCTCGCTTCATGCTTATTTCTTTCTCGCTCATATCCTCTTTTTCCACCTCACCTCATCCCGAATGTATCTCTGTCCTTTTCTCACCCTCTTTACTTTCCGTTGTTTTGTCCCCCTCTCTTTATTTTCTCCCTCTCTCTAAACCATCCGTTTTATCTCCCTTGCGCGGTGTCCTCCATTTCCCCCCCACCCCCACCCCCATTTTCTCATCTGATATACAGTAGGCATTAGGCTGGATAAAGAGTGACAGACACAGAGAGAGAGGTGGTAATGATATAGCTGGCAGTGTGTGTGGAGGGGGACTTATTGTGATAGATGAGGACAAGGTGGCTTCCAGCAGCCTCCGTCTGTCTGTCTGGCTAGCTGGCTGTATGTCTAGCTGCCAGGTTGGCTGGCTGTACTGGCCTGTAAAGAGCACGGGCCCTTCATGGATCAATTCCCTATCACAGTTCCACTCAAGTATTTCTGCTATTGCCATGCCCATTCATTTTCAAGGCTTTGAATAGGAATTTGAATGCGGTCACACAGAGATTTGTATACTTTCCTCCACAGTTTGCTGCCTGTAAGTTGTTCTCTTGTTAACAACATTCGCATCTTCAGGGACTTTCTCTTCTTCCTTTGGTGTGTATGAGCTCTCTGCTCGATGACTCAGGCACTCAGCCTCTCTGTTCCTCCAAACATCCTGGCTGTCCCTGTTTTACATAACACTGTCTGTCCCCATGGCTTATTGGAGGTTCTCTAATCTATTGCTGTGTGCTAATAATTTCTGCCTTGTATTTTAATGAGACTAGATGCCTCTCTCTCTCTCTCTGTCAGCATAATATTTTATGAATGGCAGTGCAGTAGTGGCACTTATACAGTGGGTATCATAACTATTCACATTACATTATGTTGCTTTATGAATCCCACTTTATAAAGCAACATAATGTAATGTGAATAGTTATGATACCCACTGTATAAGTGCCACTACTGCACTGCCATTCATAAAATATTATGCTGACAGAGAGAGAGAGAGGGAGAGAGAGAGAGTGGCATCTAGTCTCATTAAAATACAAGGCAGAAATGTCAAAAATGTCAGAGAAAATAATGAAATTTTTTAATTTCATGCATTTTTACAAATTAATAAAAATTAAATAACTAAAATATAGTTGTTGCGTAAGTATTCACCCCCTTTGTTTAGACAAGCGTACATTAGTTCAGGTGTAAAATGTGGCTTAACAAATCACATAATATGTTAGGGGTTGATATAAAAAAATGTATGACTGCCTCTGTCCTCCATACATACAATATATGTAAGGTCCCTGAGTCAAGTATTGAATTCAATCATAGATTAAACTACAAAGACCAGGGAGCTTTGTGAAAGCCTCATAAAGAAGGGCAGTGATTGGTAGATGGGTAACAATAACAAATCAGGCATTGAATATCTCAAGTTAATAATTATGCTGTGACTGATGTATTAAACCACCCAGACACATCAAAGAGGGGATACTTATAATATGCCATTTAGCAGACGCTTTTATCCAAAGCGACTTACAGTCGTGTGTGCATACATTTTTACGTATGGGTGGTCCCGGGGAACGAACCCACTACCCTGGCGTTACAAGCGCCATGCTCTACCAATTGAGCTACAGAGGACCACTTATGATACCCATTGTATAATGCTACTCTCACCATGCCACAGGGCTGACTAGGGCGTCCTCTCTCTGTCACCAGACACACTAGCTACTCTACTGTAGCACACCAATATACAACTGACGCAGTCACAAACATCAACACAAAGGTGTACAAACATGGATGGATGGATGTATATACAGACACACACAAACAGGTACACACGCACTCACATCCGGTCAGGTATACACACACAGGCTCATTAGAGTTTGCAGAGGACTGCGGCAGACCTCTCTGCATTTCCCGTCACGCTACTTTTCTCTCCTCTCTGCACTCAACCACTGGCCTACATACAGCCATCCACATCAGTTCCTGCGGCACCACACACAGCTCATTCATATTTAATGTGCACAGATTTCCTCTCTCTCTCTCTCTCTCATATCTGGGGACGCTGCTTCTGTCCCTCTAATGGGGTACACTAGGTTATATCTGGGGAAGCAACTTTCCAGTAAAGAAAAACTGAGTATAGCACATACGAAAACAGATATCCTTGATATTACAGAGTAAAGTTCCTTTGCATAGGTTACTAGTCCCCACTTCCCCCGGTTTGTGTTACTCAATTTCTCTCTCTGTCTCCCCCCCCCCCCCCCCCCTCTCTCTCTCTCTCTCTCTCTCTCTCTCTCTTTATTTCTCTCTCTCTCTCCATCCTCAGCTTTCACCGACAGACAAGAGTTTGGAGTTTGACAGAGATTTCCGTATCCGGCACTATGCAGGGAATGTTGTGTAAGTAACCATTGCGGTGGTGTACTGTATGGAACCACTCTCGGCTAAAAGTCATTGTGGCGGCAGTAGTGAGTTCATTGCACTTCACTATGTTCTCTTAATACCCTAATCATTACAGAAATGTGAGATCATCAAACACTATCTGCCAAATCACAAGCTTTGTATGCTACAGTATGCAAGACATCCTCAGTGCCTGTCCAGCCCAGCAGCTCTCTAGCTAACTCCCCATAGTTGACATATTAAATGGCTTTAAAGATGAGATGAGACCATTATAAATACCATGGACTCTGCCTCCTGCAGCGTAGCCTAATTGGTTCAGGGAGCACTCAAACTTGAGTCTCGCTGCGTCCCAAATGGCACCCTATTCCCTATATAGTGCACTACCTTTGACCAGGGCCCATACTGTAGGTCTCTGGTCAATGGGATCTGGCCAAAAGTAGTGCACTATATAGGGAATAGGGTGCCATTTTGAGATGCAGCCTGATACTGTAGAGTAAGGGGTGTAATGGGTCAGTGTCCCCTGGGTCTTACTGAATACCGCAGATGGCTCCTACACTTACACTGTCTCAGACTGGAAACAGAGGATTTCTTCTCTAATTCTTCTGTGACTCATCCATTGTAACCGTTTCTGAGTAGGGTTTACGAGACGCTGTTGTCATTTTTAAGCACCGTCTTTGGTGATGCAAGTTTTAAGACGGTCTTAGTGTCAGAAAAAGATATTCGAAACGTGTGTGTGTGTGTGTGTGTGCACTTTTGTATTTACACAGGTACTCTGTGGTTGGCTTCATCGACAAGAACAAGGACACTCTCTTCCAGGACTTCAAAAGGCTACTGTACAACAGGTCAGAGTCAACACACCTGCTATCCCCTCTCCCCCTCCTCCCCTCTCATGACACCACAGTAGCCTTCAAAAAACAGAACAACAGCACCTACAATGAAGAACTGATAAACAATCTTCTCCTCTCTCTTTTACTCTTCTTTTTCTCCCTCTCTCTTCCTCTCTTCCTCTCTCTCCGTAGCTCCAACCCAGTGCTGAAGGTGATGTGGCCAGAGGGCAAGCTGAGGATCACTGAGGTCACCAAACGACCCTTAACGGCCGCCACCCTCTTTAAGAACTCCATGATCGCATTGGTGGAGAACCTGGCTTGCAAGGTGAGGGGCTATTTAATTGGCCAACAACATCCAATTTTCTGTTTGTACTACTGACTTGGCGTGTGTGTGTGTGTGTGTGTGTGTGTGTGTGTGTGTGTGTGTGTGTGTGTGTGTGTGTGTGTATTTCAACTTTAATAGTCTAAAGTGGGTTTTTGTTCATCTCCTCTCCTTCAAAATTACACAAGGGAACTCACAGGATAGGTGGAAAAAACATGTTGGGTATTCTATAGGAATTAGCTTTCACGTTTCCCGTTCTTCCACATCCGTGCAGATAATGGAGAGGAGACTAGGGGGTAAAGCCATTTTAGACTATTTACATGTTGTCAGTGTTCAGTGCCACTTTCTGACGAACCCCATAGTAGCCAATGATGTGTCCCCTTACTGTGGCGTGTGTGTAGGAGCCTTACTACGTGCGCTGCATCAAGCCCAACGATGTCAAGTCGCCCCTGCTGTTCGAGCACGAGCGTTGTCGCCACCAGGTCGAGTACCTAGGCCTACTGGAGAACGTTCGTGTGCGCCGTGCCGGATTCGCCAACCGCCAGGAGTACCCCCGCTTCCTCCAGAGGTACGAGCTTCCACCCCATCTCCGGGTAGAAGTAGAATTAGGGCCCGTATTCAAAAAGCTTCTCAGAGTAGTGCTGATTTAGGATCAAGTCTCTTCTGTCCATATAATCATATTAATTATGATCTAAAAGGCCTTATCCCGATCCTATATCAGCACTCCTACTCTGAGGGCGACGTTTCCGTAGTGCTAAAGCATTGTGCGAAGTGCAAAAAATACATTATAATATGTGTGATTTAATTACAAAATGTTCTTACGGGACCTGTGTTATAACTGGGCTGGAACAAAAGCTTGAACAAGATGCCCACCCCTGCATTAGATCATTGGCTAGGGGCAACATCATCCTCCCTACATTCCCATCCTTATCATGTTACTTCCTGCTGTCAGGTATTAAGTTGTTGTTTAGCCAATGTCCCAGACAGTTGATTTGATACTTCCCTATCAACACAATGTTCCTGTGCCCTTGACTAGGAACAGCCTTGTAACAGAGTGGATGTATTTAATGAATTGCCTTTTCATCGAATTCAGTCGACGCACTGCAATTCAGTGGGGAAAACAAGCTCTGTGACGAGTTGTATTGAGACTATGACCCTCACTACTTCCTGCCTCTGTTTTCAATCCATTCACCAGTATAGACTGACAGTCCCTAATACATTTTTCTCTACCATGATACTATGATATTATTTTATGTACAACAGTTCTCCTACTAACATCAATTCATGACTAAGTGAATAAACCGGGGCTGGGCTTGAGTTTGATCAAGCAGAATCCAGTCAGTACTGGACTAAGTCATAGAGATCTGTGCAGTAGAGAGAAGAGGATGGGCTTCGCACGATCACGTTACCTTGTGTCTCCCTTCCAGAGGTAGATCGGGCGCTAAGCGACAGCAGTGATGTCACTGAGGTGGCAGCAAGTCACTTTCATCAGATGAGATGTTACGTAATAATAAATACAGCAAGATATGACATTTCTTCTAAAAGTGTGTTATCTGGGAAACAGAAACAGGTTTATATTGTGTGCAAAAGGAGGATTTTTATAGGATTTATTTTGGACTCTTGGCAGTCAAGACTGACCAAATGTTTAATTAGGATTTGGTCCAAATTGCACTGTCACACACAAGCTCCAAATGGTCCCAAACAAATGCAAACACACACACACACACATTCTGTTAAATGTTGATCCCTTTCCCTAATTCATTCACAGCTGTTTCATTCTCCCACTGCCCCGCCCTTCCTCGGTCAAACTACACCGAACAACAATATAAACGCAACATGAAACAATTTCAATGATTTTACTGAGTTACAGTTCATATAAGGAAATCACTCAATTAAAATAAATTCATTAGGCCCTAATCTATGTATTTCACATAACTGGGCAGGGGCGCAGCCATGAGTGGGCCTGGGAGGGCCTCACCCACTTGGGAGCCAGGCCCAGCTAATCAGAATGAGTTTTCCCCCACAAAAGGGTTTTATTACAGATAGAAATACTCCTCAGTTTCATCAGCTGTCCAGGTGGCTGGTCTCAGATGATCCGGCAGGTGAAGAAGCCGGATGTGGAGGTCCTGGGCTGGCGTCGTTACACGTGGTCTGCGGTTGTGAGGCCGGTTGGGCGTACTGCCAAATTCTCTAAAATGACGTTGGCGGCTTATGGTAGAGAAATGAACATTCAATTCTCTGGCAACAGCTATGGTGGACATTCCTGCAGTCAGCATGCCAATTGCACGCTCCCTCAAAACTTGAGACATCTGTAGCTTTGTGTTCTGTGACAAAACTGCACATTTTAGTGGCCTTTTATTGTCCCCAGTACAAGGTGCACCTGTGTAATGATCATGCTGTTTAATCAGCTTCTTGATATGCCACACCTGTCAGGTGGATGGATTATCTTGGCAAAGGAGAAATACTCACTAACAGGGATGTCAACAAATTTGTACACACAATTTGAGAGAAATAAGCTTTTCTGGAATCTTTTATTTCAGCTCATGAAACATGGGACCAACACTTTACATGTTGCGTTTATATTTTTGTTCAGTATAGATTAGGTAATAGTTGCGATACTTAACAATTATTGTTTTGCATAACGCACTTCTCCTCTAACTCTATCCCTCTCCCTCATTTCCTTCACTGATGAATTTGGTATAGATCGGTATTACATCATGCTTTAGCAGTAAAATGCCAGTGAAATGACTAATTATGACTAACAGGATTTTTTGTCAGGCCTGCTGACCTCTCTTGGCAGTCAAATAATATCTTGTCCTGTAAAGTTACAAATCATTCTGTATTTTGCTGGGCATTTTTTCTGTGGTTCAGGTTTCATAAAAGAAGAAGGGTGATGCAAACACCATTAGGAATTTAAGTCCTAGTAATTTAGCAGATGCTTTTGTCCAAAGTGACATACATTTAACACACAGTATACCATGTTTTTGGCCCTTGCAGGAATCAAACCAATTATTATGGCATTGTATGCCCCATGCTCCGACCACTGAGCAATCAGAACCACTCTGGTTAGCGATCGTGCTAAAGTATTTTGATCTCCACTAATATTGGACTCCTTTCCCCTCGGCCTCCATTCCACCCCCTCAGGTACAAGATGATCTCAGAGTTCACGTGGCCCAATCACGACCTCCCGTCGGACAAAGAGGCGGTAAAAAGGCTGGTGCAGGGCTGCGGCTTCGAGCAGGACGTGGCGTACGGCAAGACGAAGGTGTTCATCCGCACGCCGCGCACCCTCTTCTGCCTGGAGGAGCAGAGAACCAAAATGGTTGGGAAAATCGTCCTCTTCCTTCAGAAGGTCAGTGTCAATCTCGTCATCTTTGACCTTTGGCCTGGTCTCCATGGCAACGGCTTTAGGTCGAGTGTAAACATTGTATAGGTGTGACCTCTACAGGTAAATCTGTTCAAAAGTCAAAAATAAATAAATACAAATAAGTTTGAGACGCTTTAAATTCAATAGAAACTCACTTTTATATTCGATATCACATTGTCAGGGAGCCTGATTGTTGGTCAAAGCTACCTATTATCCAGTGACCTCATTATTTTGTGTTCTCATTTAAATTCATTCTCCTTGCTTCTCATATGAGTAACTAACTCCCGAGACAGGAACAACTCAGCACTTGATATGCCACCGCCGCTAGGCATCGAGATATGTTCAGAGCCTAAAATAATGTTGTATTATTATAGCGTTGGCTCTCTCTCTCTTTCTCTCTGGGTTTTATCCGCCCACGCAAACCCAACTCAGTAAATGATCTGGAGGAGAGAAGAGGGGTCCACACATCCGCACTGCAGACTTCTGGGAAGCCACTGGCAACTCCTGCACACTAAAAGAACAAACAAACTCTGAAAACAGAATATAATGTTCCCTGTACTCCTATTCAACCCTTATTAGCGACTCCTTCTCATAGTTGGAATATATCACTACTAGCACAGCTCCTGAGATGCTGAAACCCATATGTATTAATATAAACCATTAGCTAATGTACTGTAGCTATAGGGGAAATCCATTTAGTACCCCTTTTATCATATTGACAGTTTTATGACATTGATACAGACCAGAATGTAATCCCATGTTATTGCTTTATTACGACCAATTCTCTGTAAATGTTCTCTGTTATATGATTGGGGATATGGATATTGGATTTTTCATATGCCTTCCTCCCTTGGTTGGTTGGTAAAGAAAGTCATGTGATTGTGTTGTGCATGAGAATGCATGACTTACTTTCAGACACCTCAGGTAAGAATGATAGCAACTCTGATGTGATGATTGGGTGTGTCATACCATATGCCATACACACCCACTAAGACAGCCTCAGTCGTACTGTACAAGGCTTCTGTATAGATGGGGAAAATGTTTTTTGTAGAATGCAGTGTTGCCCTGTCAATTTGCTGTTAAATCTAGCTGAGCTTCTCTATAAAGGTAATGCCCTCTCTGACTGACTGGTACAGAGCTCCAAAACGTCCATTTGTCAGCATCTGTCTGTTCGCTTTCGTGTTTCCTTTTCCCAGTTTGGGATTTGAACGCCTATTTCACTCATTCACCTGGGAGCCATCTATATGTTTGGTGTTCTGACAGAATAAAGATTGACAGCTATACATTTACCTAGCATGTTATTGCTACTCATATCCCTAGGAGTACATTCCTTCACATTCTGAACACCTTTGATTCAGTCAGCTCTCTCGGAGGACTGTGCTGCAATCTAACTGCCTGCAGACATCAAAGGCTGAAACCAACCAAATTGCTTCAATCTGGGATTGATTGTTTGACCTCTGTATTGATCTAGAAGGCCCAGGTTGTGCTGCCCAACAGACAAGCTCGCCTCGTGCTCCTGTTCTCCTATCTCAAAGGATTTTGTCACTTTGATAACCAAGTACAAACACCAGAGAGAATTCCAGACGTTCTACCAAAACAAACATCACACAAAAGAGAGGTTTAGGGTTGAAGGAATCGTGCAGGGGCTCTGTCAGAGAATATGAAGAGAGGTTCTTTGTCAATGGATGTTGCTCACGCACGCACACACACACACTCTCATGCACCACCCTCCACAAATAAGCAAAATAGACTGCTATTTTACTCTGTTTGTCCCCTGCCCCCTACACACACAGCTCATCCTCTGTGCCATGCAATCCCCTTATCAGCAGCTGGCACACCAATGGGGCTTATGCCAACGGGCCCCACCATGCCAGGGGTGGCAGGACCCATGCCAGTATCTCAAGCGCTCTTCCCCTCCCCCCAACGAGCCTCCTTCCCCAGACAACCACAAGTGCCTGTCAGTGACTGCACTCCACATAAGAAGTGAGGGGTCCCATATATAGAACCCGAGAATATTGTGCCCTTCTCCATGCCTGTTTCTGGAGTACACAATGTACCTTTCTCCCTACCGCCCCTTCACCCCCTCCTTACAGCCCCCTACGTAAGTGCCCCTCATCCCCTGAAGGGAGGAGGGGGGGGGGGGGGGGTGAGAGAGAGAGACTCCCTCCCAGTCTCATTTCACGCTGCCTTTCGCTCCGTCGTTCCTCGTTTCCGCCCCGTACTCCTGAGCCCCCGACTAAGCCGTTCCACTCCGGCTCTCCTCTGCTCCCCGAGGCAGCGGCTAGAACCCTGGCTCCGCTGAATCCACCGCCACGGCTATCAACTCTGCCCTCACCACTGACTGACTGAGTGCACTACATCCCACTATCAATGGCCTATATCTGCTCCACTGCCCACTCCCAGATGTGGACTGTGCGGGCAGTTGAGCACACAAGCCCCCATCCAATCCGCAGTCAGAACCTTATCCTCAGGAAGGGCCGATAGTCCCAATCTGAACCAACCTAAAGGGGATTAAATACTACAATCCAACACAAATACAGAGACTTTTTTAAAAATTATTCATGAGCTTCCACCCTTATTTTTTAATGAATATTTCATACATTTATGTCACGCCCTGACTTATGGGACTCTTGTATGTTGAGTCAGGGTGTGGATATCTATGTTAGTATTTCTAGGTTTTCATTCTAGGTTTGTGTTTCTATGTTTGGCCGGGTGTGATTCCCAATCAGAGGCAGCTGTCGCTCGTTGTCTCTGATTGGGGATCATACTTTAGTAGCCTGTTGGCAATCATTAGTGGCGGGATCTTGTTCCGTGTGTAGGCTTGGTTTGTGTTTAGCCTGAGGACTTCATGTTACGTTGGTTTGTTGTTTTGTTCGTGTGTTTATCGTTGAAATAAACATGTATGCATTTCACGCTGCGCCTTGGTCTGACCCGTCCTTCAACGAACGTGACAGTTTAAGCCCAGCCATCCACATCAGTTTCTGTCAGGGCTATTCTTTTAGCTGAGATGACGACAGAGAGTCAGTCCCCTGTGTATTAGGAACTGGACATTAATTTCTATTGAAAGCGTTACAGGTTTTATCAGTGAGACTGTAGGCTAGGCTATGCTAACATTAGCTTAGCGTTAGCCTAGTGTAAGCCCTAGCACGCTGTCTGTCTGCCTACTGGGCCTGAACTGATCCCCTTCTATCCACACGCCTCAGCAGTATGTAACCTGATCCTAATTCGTCTGATGTAGGCATTATTGCAACGGTGTGTACAGTGTTCTGTTACTTATGGTACATTTACAACTGCTGACTGCAAAACACCTAGCTACCTCCAAAATTGACAATCTGCCAGAAATATTAGCAAGTTATTCAATGTATTTTCATGTGATAGAAGTTCGTAGAACTATTACAGCAGAACAGATAATACCTCATACCCCTGCACATCGACTCAGTACTGGTACCCCGTGTACAGTATATAGCCAAGTTATTGTTACTCATTGTGTATTTATTATTACTTTTATTATTATGTGTTATCACTTTTCTATTATTTATACATTTTCTTTCTCTCTGCATTGTTGGGAAGGGCCCATAAGTAAGCATTTCACTGTTAGTCGACACCTGTTGATTACGAAGCATGTGATGAATAACATTTGATCTGATAATACCCTTCCACATGATCACATTTAAATGAAAATAGGATGTAAAGATACATTCTGCAATATTTACAACTCTTCAATTATCATTTCAATTAGTGATATAGGCCCATTGATTATTGAAAAATGTAATTTAGAAATGCCTCATGAGCTAAGAATAACTGTCTAACCTCATTATAACACAATATAAGGTTGTTTTACTCCAAGGTTTGTAAACAATGTCTTTTTTAATGAACAACACACAGTAGTATTGATTTTAATAATGATTTTGGGGCTCCAAAAATAGGTTCACCTGAGACCATTACAGCATTGAGCATTCACAGTGTTCTCGCACAGGGAAGAGCTGGAAGCCACTTAAGATCATGTGATTGTCAGGATCATCATAGAGCCTACACCCTTCAGTGATATACATCGCATCCACATCCTCCTCCTCCAGCTGCTGACTAACTACATTAGATATACACTTAAGATTTGAATCAAAATGGTAGTCATAATTCCGCATAATTCTCTGGCCATTATTATACATCAGTATATAAATATCCACTCCTGACAGTTCAGCTGCTTGGCTTGAAATTATGGAAACATAATCCATTAATGCTCATATAAAGCAGATGAAACAAAATGTTGTTCATTGTAATTCGTACACCTACTATAGGTGTATTAGGCCTACTTGCATTCTCGTTCTTCAGTTCCTTCACCTGGCTCTCACAGGCTGTCAGTCTGGCCTCCAAGGCTGTAATGGGCTCCCGAGTGGCGCAGCGGTCTAAGGCACTGCATCTCAGTGCTTGTGGCATCACTACAGACCCCCTGGTTCGATTCCAGGCTGTATCACAACCGGCCGTGATTGGGAGTCCCATAGGGCGGCGCACAATTGGCCCAGCGTCGTCCGGGTTTGGCCGGTGTAGGCCGTCATTGTAAATAAGAATTTGTTCTTAACTGACTTGCCTAGTTAAATAAAGGTAAATAAAAAATCTGTCTTCGGTTCCTCCATCTGGCTCTCACTGGCTGTCAGTCTGGCCTCCAAGGCTGGATTGTCTGTCTTCAGTTCCTACACCTGGATCTCACTGGCTGTCAGTCTGGCCTCCAAGGCTGGATTGTCTGTCTTCAGTTCCTCCACCTGGCTCTCACTGGCTGTCAGTCTGGCCTCCAAGGCTGGATTGTCTGTCTTCAGTTCCTCCACCTGGCTCTCACTGGCTGTCAGTCTGGCCTCCAAGGCTGTATTGTCTGTCTTCAGTTCCTCCACCTGGCTGTCAGTCTGGCCTCCAAGGCTGTATTGTCTGTCTTCAGTTCCTCCACCTGGCTCTCACTGGCTGTCAGTCTGGCCTCCAAGGCTGGATTGTCAGTCTTCAGTTCGTCTACTTCTTTCGTAGTGATTCTCTTCTCCACTTTAAGGTCCATCACTTGGTCCTCACTTGCTGCCACTCTGTCCTCCGTGTTCCTCAGCTTCTCTCTCTCTGCTCCACCACCATGTCTCTCAGCTCCTTAATCTCATTCCAGATGTCAGGTGTGGTTGTGTGTTCGTCGGTCACGCCCATAGCTTCAGTCCCTCGGGTCTCCATCGGAACTTCGCTAACTCTGCTCTCTCTCCCTGCGCTGTGACCCTGTTGAGCTCTGTCTCTGACCCCTCCACTCTCTCCCTGAGCCCATGCCCCGGACAGACAGAAGAACAGCAACACTAACAGAGTTACCGCACCCCTCATTCTGAAACATTGCCTTTTCAGATACAGTGTGGCTTATGAGGCTACGTCACGTCAATGCAAATGTTGCTACTAAAGTCAAGGACATTTGACAACATATATTTTGCCACGTAAGACGTAAGAAGTCTGCAACTGTTGTTTTGTAAATTATCCCCTAATGCCTCTGCAGGTTGAAACCATGTTGTTTCTCTTGTTGCCATTCCTTTTCTCAGTGATCTTTGCTTAGGAAGATACTGTACCTGCATCCTCTGTTATTGAGGAAGACTTTGGTGATGAAGAAGTGTGTCTTCATTGTACTGGAGTATTTTTCCCTGCTGTCTCTTGGAGCTCAGCTGCCTTCTCATTTTGTGTTCTTTCATGTGTTTTGTTTGCGACTGTGCTGTCAACTAGCGCGGTGACAGTTTGAATATTCTCTTTTGCTGCAACTTCTCACTGCCTCAGCAACTTCCAACTTCCCACTGTTGAACAATTAAGGCACAGATGTTTCCTTTGAATTCATAATCACACATTTATTTTATATTTTACAATGCAAAGCCAATTAATACAGGCTCATATTTTATTCAAAAAAATCCTTGAGTTGGTAATGTAATTGATTCGTAGTAGGCTATTTGAGTAAAGTTATTCACACTTAGATTCACAGCACTAACAACAAGAAGATAAAGTAGTGCCAGGCGTTCCACATTCAAAACAATCCACTGAGCTGACGCATCTCCCTGACAGTGGAAGGATATGGATAGACGGGGCTCTCACCATGGCAACCCAGGTTTGGCTCCCAGCCAAGGTGCACTGCTTTCCTCCACTATGACCTTCATTTAACATTTTCCCCCGACTCCTCATAGAATCACCCCTTTTCTTTCTATCCTTTGGCATGTCTATTCATGTATAATACAGTATGTTTTACTTGTCCGGATTTCTAATTGACAGACCTGATACAAGCAATCATTTCTGAAGGTTTCTTTGTTTCAGTTATTGATTTTAGTGTCTGACAGTCTGTCCATGGAGGCAACACAAATTCAAAATTTCCATCAATATTTCTATCGATCAACAGGATCCATAGCTATTCTATTTCCTCCTTACTTTAGTTCCTGTATTCCCATTGTTAAAAATTATTTGTCACACAGTACAGGAGCCCAATGATGGAACATGGTGATCATGTACAGTGGGGAAAAATGTATTTAGTCAGCCACCAATTGTGCAAGTTCTCCCACTTAAGAAAATGAGAGAGGCCTGTAATTTTCATCATAGGTACACGTCAACTATGACAGACAAAATGAGGAAAAAAAATCCAGAAAATCACATTGTAGGATTTTTAATGAATTTATTTGCAAATTATGGTGGAAAATAAGTATTTGGTCAATAACAAAAGTTGCTCAATACTTTGTTATATACCCTTTGTTGGCAATGACACAGGTCAAACGTTTTCTATAAGTCTTCACAAGGTTTTCGCACACTGTTGCTGGTATTTTGGCCCATTCCTCCATGCAGATCTCCTCTAGAGCAGTGATGTTTTGGGGCTGTCACTGGGCAACACAGACTTTCAACTCCCTCCAAAGATTTTCTATGGGGTTGAGATCTGGAGACTGGCTAGGCCACTCCAGGACCTTGAAATGCTTCTTACGAAGCCACTCTTTCGTTGCCCGGGCGGTGTGTTTGGGATCATTTTCATGCTGAAAGACCCAGCCACGTTTCATCTTCAATGCCCTTGCTGATGGAAGGAGGTTTTCACTCAAAATCTCACGATACATGTCCCCATTCATTCTTTCCTTTACACGGATCAGTCGTCCTGGTCCCTTTGCAGAAAAACAGCCCCAAAGCATGACGTTTCCACCCCCATGCTTCACAGTAGGTATGGTGTTCTTTGGATGCAACTCAGCATTCTTTGTCCTCCAAACACGACGAGTTGAGTTTTTACCAAAAAGTTCTATTTTGGTTTCATCTGACCATATGACATTCTCCCAATCCTCTTCTGGATCATCCAAATGCACTCTAGCAAACTTCAGACGGGCCTGAAAATGTACTGGCTTAAGCAGGGGGACACGTCTCGCACTGCAGGATTTGAGTCCCTGGCGGCGTAGTGTGTTACTGATGGTAGGCTTTGTTACTTTGGTCCCAGCTCTCTGCAGGTCATTCACTAGGTCCCCCTGTGTGGTTCTGGGATTTTTGCTCACCGTTCTTGTGATCATTTTGACCCCACGGGGTGAGATCTTGCGTGGAGCCCCAGATCGAGGGAGATTATCAGTGGTCTTGTATGTCTTCCATTTCCTAATAATTGCTCCCACAGTTGATTTCTTCAAACCAAGCTGCTTACCTATTGCATATTTAGTCTTCCCAGCCTGGTGCAGGTCTACAATTTTGTTTCTGGTGTCATTTGACAGCTCTTTGGTCTTGGCCATAGTGGAGTTTGGAGTGTGACTGTTTGAGGTTGTGGACAGGTGTCTTTTATACTGGTAACAAGTTCAAACAGGTGCCATTAATATAGGTAACGAGTGGAGGACAGAGGAGCCTCTTAAAGAAGAAGTTACAGGTCTGTGAGAGCCAGAAATCTTGCTTGTTTTTAGGTGACCAAATACTTATTTTCCACCATAATTTGCAAATAAATTCATTAAAAATCCTACAATGTGATTTTCTGGATATTTTTTTCTCAATTTGTCTGTCATAGTTGACGTGTACCTATGCTGAAAATTACAGGCCTCTCATCTTTTTAAGGGGGAGAACTTGCACAATTGGTGGCTGACTAAATACTTTTTTTCCCCACTGTATAGAGGATGTCAGTCTAATGAGGGTTTCAGAGCAAGCCACTGGCTGCTGCCTTGAGCATGTGGTGATGCTGTTGCTGTTCACACGAGCACTGGATTGATTTATGCTAATACCCATTGGCCCAGTGTCTCAGCCCAGTGTCCCTGGTGATTGCCTGCGGTCAGAGTGTGTGTGTGTGTGTTGTGCCCTTGTTAAATTGTGTCACACACTCCGCTTGATGCCGTCTCCACCCACCTTGGTGTGTCGAGCATGTCACTGGAAAACCAGCCTGATGTCCCTGGAGGACAGGGAAATAGTGGTGCTCAGCATTGGATTGTAGTCGAGTGTGTCGCTCCGCTGGCCCAAATCGACTAGGCTATCTGTCTTTCCATGTTTGATTTGTTTTGTGGATGACATATAAAAGGATATTTTGATTTAGCATGTTTGGTCAGAGACTATGAATGGTATATGGCTCTTCAGTAGTCCTAAAGCAGTTTCAGCACTTGGTGTAGCCTATATATCTATACGTTTACATGAAGATATATGTCAAGTAAAAGATTTCATCTTTATGTTCTTCTCTCTCAAACTCCCTACACATCCAGCCATTGTCATGGTATGTGATTTGTGCTGGCCGGCCTCGCCCTACCCAGCATGCATTTCAAAGCGCCCCAGTAAAGCCTTACCAATCTGTCCCACTTTGTCTGGCCAAGACACCCCCAATGGCTTTGACAAGCTCGTAAATCTGGAGCCCCAAAGTCAGGGCAGCGTGTGGCTAGTACGACTCCATGATGGAGGGAGTCTGTAAAATGGTGATCAGATGGCTCTATTGGAGAGGAGGGAGTTCCGGACGTGTTATTAGCCTGATTTACATACGTTCCCCTGGGTGTTGTCCTCTCCCCACCTTCCTACTCATGATCATCCACACTGTCTGCCCCTCTTTGTTTAAGCGCAGCCAAGCAGGTGTGTGTGTGTGTGTGTGTGTGTGTGTGTGTGTGTGTGTGTGTGTGTGTGTGTGTGTGTGCCGGGCGGGCGGGCCCACCTAAGTCCATGGTGAATACACACATCAAGTAATTTACCTCTTGTATATCATAATCAGCTTAAGATAATGTATTCAGATAGATTTAGATTATGTTTAGGCCTTATCCAATGTCGCTGTTGCTCTTCCTGCAACCCGCTTCTTACTTTTAGCTCAGGACATTCACATTCAAATGTATGTTTATACAAAGGCCTTGATTGATGCTAAGTAGTTACCATCTATTGGCAATATTATGTATGACACAACTGCCACAGTTAATCAGATGTGGTTACAGTATTTTGTCACTTAGATAACGTTTCTCATATCTGCCCATATGGAATGTTTTAGGAAGAGATGTACTGTAGGAAATCAGGTTGAGAGCTTATTTTAACACGCAGCCATCCCACCACCTCTCCGCTCAGAATCTTAGTCTTTGTTTAAAATCAAAGTAAAGAAGGTCATTGAGGGTCCAATAGCCCTACAGTATATTGCTCACAATCACTTAAAGCTGCAATATGTAACCAAATGTACATAGAAATGTAAGTTTTATAGATCTGTCATTCTCATTGAAAGCAAGTCTAAGAAGCGCTAGATCTGTTCTATGTGCGCTATTTCTTTGCTTTCTGTTCTTAAGTTTAGTTTTTGCGTCTTTTACTTTCGGTTTTGTACATCAGCTGAAAATACAATATTTTTGCTTAATGAAAATATATTTCCCAGCAGTTTAGATGGTACATTGATTCTCTACACTATACTATAAGCTATACACTATTGCTTGCTTTTTCATATAAACTGAAATTAGGCGAACTATTAGAATTTTTGCAACCAGGAAATGACGGAGCAATTTCTGCATATTGCACCTTTATGCAAATTCTGTTTATCTCAACCCAAGACCATAATACACTCGGGTCCCTTAAGAAAAATCTTCAATTCTCCATTTTAATATCTTATTTTAGAATATCTTATCTCAATGCCGCTCGCCTAAAACAGACTTCATTTTCCCCAAACATTTGATCAAATCTGAATTTGAATGTTTTTTTTTCTAACACAGTTAGTTAGCGGGGACCATCTATGAGTTGTATTCTATTCATGTGTTCACCTCATCGTCCTTGTCAAGTGGGAGGATAGTAACAGGCCCGTATACATTACTTCACACTGTAGAAAAACGTTTTGCAACGGAAAACGAGCGTTTCTTATTGGACAAGTTCAGGTAGTCCCTCCCGGTTTTCAGTAAAAAAATTAATAAATTGGTGCCTAATGAAAATAGTTGTATTTTGTAGTTTATTTTTAAATACCAACTTTCAAATACTCGAGGTAGTCGAATATATTTTCTGTAGACTTTCAACTAAAGGCAACTATTTTCTTTGATATTCAAATACAGGTCTCAGAAAACCAAATCATATTTGAAAGTATTTTGAATACCTCTCAGAAAACCATATAATATTTGAAGGTATTTTAATATATGCAAGTTGTTTGAAACCCCAAAAATGTGATGGCTGCCAAATATTTGATGAAGAACCAAAAACTACAGCAGTTAGTTGAATTAGTTTGAATATATGATCGTTAGCACATGGTATGGAGGGCTCTTGGATATTAATCAAATATTGCCTATAGCCTATAATTAAATACATGAAGGACATGGAATCATCTCAACATTAGAGTACAGTGGCGCAGTGGTCTAAGGCACCTCATCGCAGTGCTAGCTGTGCCACTAGAGATCCTGGTTCGAATCCAGGCTCTGTCGTAGCCGGCCGCGTCCGGGAGACCCATGGGGTGGCGCATAATTGGCCCTGCGTCGTCCAGGGTAGGGGAGGGAATGGCCGGCAGGGATGTAGCTCAGTTGGTAGAGCATGGCGTTTGCAATGCCAGGGTTGTGGGTTCAATTCCCACGGGGTGCCAGTATGAAAAATCATAATAATGTATGCACTCACTAACTGTAAGTCGCTCTGTATAAGAGCGTTTGCTAAATGACTAAAATGTAAATATATTCAGACCCCTTCCCTTTTTCCACATTTTGTTACGTTACAGCCTTATTCTAAAATGGATTAAATAAAAAAATGTCCTCATCAATGTACACACACTACCCCATAATGACAAAGCGAAAACCGTTTTTTAGAAATTGTTACACATCAAAAATAAAAAGTAGTTGCTTTCTCTGATATGTATTCAGTTTTAAAAGGTAGTTCCTTTCTGAGATCTGTATTCAAATAGTTTAATATAATAATTATTTTTTGGGATCTGAATTCAATTATACTGAACAAAAATATAAACGCAACATGCAACAATTTAAAAGATTTTACTGAGTTAGTTCATATAAGGAAATAAGTCAATTGAAATAAGTTCATTAGGCCGTAATCTATGGATTTCACATGACTGGGAATAAAGATATGCATCCCAAACATGCTTAATGGGTGACATGTCTGAGTATGCAGGCCATGGAAGAACTGGAAAATTTTCAGCTTCCAGGAATTGTGTACAGATCCTTGCGACATTGGGCCGTGCATTATAATGCTGAAACATGAGGTGATAGCGGCGGATGAATGGCACGACAATGGGCCTCAGGATCTCGTCACGATATCTCTGTGCATTCAAATTGCCATTGATAAAATGCAATTGTGTTCGTTGTCCGTATCTTATGCCTGCCCATACCATAACCCCACCGCCACCATGGGGTACTCTGTTCACAACATTGACGTCAGCAAACCGCTTGCCCACACGACGGTTGTGAGGCTGGTTGGACGTTGGAGGCGGCTTGGTAGAGAAATGAACATTAAATTCTATGACAACAGCGCTGGTGGACATTCATGCAGTCAGCATGCCAATTGCACGCACCTTCAAAACTTAAGACATCTGTGGCATTGTGTTGTGGGACAAAACTGCACATTTTAGAGTGGCCTTTTATTGTCCCCATCACAAGGTGCACCTGTATAATGATCATGCTGTTTAATCAGCTTCTTGATATGCCACACCTGTCAGGTGGATGGATTCTCTTGGCAAATGAGAAATGCTCACTAACAGGGATGTAAACACATTTGTGCACAACATTTTAGAAAAATACGTTTTTTGTGCGTATGGAACATTTTAGTGATCTTTTATTTCAGCTCATGAAACATGGGACCAACACTTTACATTTTGCATTTATATTTTTGTTCAGTGTAGTTTCTCATTGACTTTAAGGGCATTCTAGTGTGCATTATTTATCTGTAATGCACGGAAATAACTAATGGTGATGAACGGAATTCTTACATGTTTGAGCTAGCCTGGGTACCAGTCTTTTTAGCTAATATTCCACTCTTTGCCACTCCTGTCATTTGCCAAAGGATAGCTATGAGGGATTTGATGAGGTGGTGGCGGCGTGTAACTGGTGTTTGGTTATGCCGGCACAGGGCATTATTTTCAGTAAGAGTCCAACATACAAGCTGTTCAGATTTACAGCTACTAACTTGAATGTGAAAGTTTATTATGTTAATCTTTGTTTTTGCTTTCTTGCTTGAGCTCACAAAAACGTACGTACATGTTCGTTTATGCATTATTTTCAATAAAGGTCTGATGAATATGTTGCTCCAATATAGGCTGCCTTTATTCACATTTGACATATATTATATTTAGTTTGTTTCATACTCTAGACATAAATCCTGTTCAACTAATAGTTGTTATTGGGAGGTATCAATAAATAAGTTTATTCATCTCCAGTGTATGAACCTCTCCATCCCCTTCTCTCTCTTCGGTCCTATTCACCAGATATGGCGCGGTACCATAGCCAGGATGCGTTACCGGCGCATGCGAGCCGCCCTCATCATCCTGCGGGCCTACCGGCGCTTCAAAGTCAAGTCTTACATCAAAGACGTCAACCGCAAATTCAAAAACGTGCGCTCCATGAAGGACCACGGCAAGCACATCAAGTGGCCCACGCCGCCCAAAGTACTGCGGAGGTTTGAAGAGGCGCTGCGGAGCTTCTACAACAGGTGAACAAACGGGAAATCACCCGCGCGCACACACACAGGGTTGTAATATGACTTGTCCCACCTCTGTTCAGACAGAACATCAACCCTTGAACACAATGCACTGTAAGCCCTTCCATCGGTATATGATCAGTGTAGTAACAATTCTGAGGAGTGCCATAGCCAGCGGTGTTGTTTTAAACTCCAACTGGTTTCCTTTGAAGGTTCTTACCCATGTTTCCTCCAGCCTCAGCTCTGTGGTGGACATTGATTTTCCCCCATCAAAGCCTCATACAATACTTTCATCCAGAGAAAGTTCAATTCCACACTTCATGCTTTGAAAGTACAGTTTCAAGGCAGGATGTTTCTTGTCAGAGAGAGTGCAGCCCCCCAAGAAATCACTGTTCTACAGTATCATCAAGTCAGAAATAGCCAATCCAGTTATCAAGGCTATAGATTCTACAGTATCAGAGTCGATATCTTGGCTCCATTGCTATTCCTGACGGTGTTTCTTGTTGCTTTAGGTGGTGGGTATGGATGCTGATCAAAGACCTGACTCCAGAGGAGAAGCTGCAGATCAGGGCCAAGGGGGATACCCTGGAGGCCCTCAAGGGCCAGAGACCTGACCTGGGGCTGCAGAGGACCTGGGAGGGCAACTACCTGGTGAGTTGGACTGGCAGGGAGGGGTTCTGACACTGTAGCTCTGAGCTCCTCAAAGGAGGAGTTTAGCGGTTGATGTGTGTGTTGTTGTTTTTTATTTGAAGGTAGTTGTAAATGTGTGTGTGTGTGTGTTTTTGGGGTGTAGTGGTGTACGGGTGACCGTGTGTGTGTTTGCGTGCATTGTTGAACTAAAATACAACAGAAAGCGCTTTGTCTTTGTAGAGTTGATCTTCATGACAGTCTTTGTCTTTGTGTGTGTGTGTGTGTGTTCAGAAGCGAGACAGTCCTGACACAGCGTCCTCCTTCACCTTGGTGTCCAGTGAGCTGCAGCGTAAGGACAAGTTCATGAGAGTTCTCTTCTCCTGCAACGTGCGCAAGGTACGTATATGCAGATGCAGACGCACACACACACACACAATAGAGAATACAATCACATCTGTTACACAACACACACTCTCTCACCTAACTGTCTCTGAGTTTAGCCAACTCCCAGTGGTGTGTGTTGGCTGTGTGTGTGGGACTCCTGTGGGGTGACTGATGAGGATCTTTGTGTTTCGCAGATCAACCGTTTCCACAAGGCAGAGGACCGGGCCGTCCTCATCACAGACCGCCACCTGTACAAGATGGACCCCCTGAAGCAGTACAAGCCCATGAAGAGCATCCCCCTCTACAATGTAGGATCATCTCCCCTGTGTTGTTAATATCGTGTATTTTATGTAGTTGAAAATGATGGAAATCTTACTAGCTGTGGCTCTAAATAGCTTAATGGATATCTCTAAATTAATCTCAATTGATAATTAATAACAGCATGGTTTGAGGAGGGGGATATTAAACACTATGTTGAGATAATGGAATAATTGTCTTTCCCACGTCCTGTTAGACTTTAATTTAAAAAGATTAGATGGGATTTTGTTTAGTTTTAAATCATCATAATTATCTCTCGTCTCTGAGAGTATTTTATTATACTATATACGGAGACTATTATTTGTAGCTATGGCAACAGTGTTTAAATGTACAACTTTCCCAGTCCTTTCTCCACTGCATTCATGTTATGTTAAAAACATTCACACTGATTGGTGGACTATAAGGCACACAGAGACTATGAGCCTTGTTTCCATGGTGAAAATCCTCTGGGTTGTTTTTAGATTTACAGCAGTGCGTCCCTGCTTTTTCCCAAAACATCCTGGCTTTTTATCAGAACTCTGTTTATGTAACCTACACCCGCATTTAAACCTCTGTCCTCGTTCCAAGTACGAGTCAAAGTAGCATCTCTGCTATTACAGTACAGGCAGATATTAACAGTGGCTTATACCTGGAAAGTTGACCTTGTGGATAAAGAGGGGAAAATGAATGAAAAAGAGAGAGAGAGAAGGGAGGGTGAATGAGAGGGAGAGAGAGAGAGGTAGAAAGGTAATCCATTCATCTTTGGCCAGATATTCCCTCCCTGTTCTGTTGTAATGAGTGAGAAATGAGCTGAGGCGTACAATGACAACTATGACAAGGAACCATTTTGTTCAATCTGAAAAACAGTCAGGAAAGAATTATAGGATGGACACCCCGGTCCTATCGCTGCATCTGTAATGGAAAGGGGAAATGGAAAAGCAGGGCTAGGAGGAGAATGGGGTTGGCTGAAGGGCTATCGGCTATTGTTTACACACACACACACACACACACAAGAGAGCCCGGAGAGGGAAAGCGTGTCTGCTGGACACTCAGTCTGAAGCTTCAGTATTGTTAAATGGAGCAGACTGGGAGACATAAGAAGGCTACTCAGAGAGGTAGAGAAGGATGTAACCCACAATACATACAGTATAGAACATTGTGTACAGCTACATGTATAACATAATGTATTGTAACTACCCCACACACACACACACACACCACAACATATTGCATGTATGACATCATATATTGTAACTGCATCCCCCCACACACACATGCATGATTAAATACTCCATTATTCTGAATGTCATCTGTAGGAGTGAGAGAGCTGGTCAAGGTGAGAGAGTAGATTGAGATGGAGACGTATGGTTGCTAGGGATGCCAGCGAGGCATGACGAGGAACCATTGATTACTTGAAGGTCGGATGGAGTGGAAAGGCCTGTTGATTAGCAAGCCAGCTACGTTGCTGCCATGCTAAACCTTGGCTTCCCTTGTGTTTATTTAGTGCCCCTGCAGGAACCAAAGGCAATTGTTGCATCCCAAATGGCAACCTGTAGTCCATAGGGCTCTGGGAAAAGTAGTGCGATATGTAGGAAATAGGGTGCCATTTGGGACGTATCCACTAGGCCAGGGAGATGGATAGCTCCCCATACGTCCATACTACTGAGGAGCCACAGCTGTCTACCTCCGATTTATAGGGCAATTAACCAATGCCTTGTGACGCATACAGCGATCGTTACTGTGTTAACTGTTGTGTCCGTGTATAAAACAAAAGTGTAAAAAATAAAAAGACGATCTGTTATACATCCCTACCTCCCTCATCCCTCTTTTTCCTGGCACATTCCCTTCGCTTTCTGCCATCTTCCTCCCTCTCCCTCTCCATCCGTGCCGCCGCCGTTGTCATGCCAACTTCCCAGGAGATGGGGTTGTCATGGCGACCGTACAGGAGGGCAGATCAGCTGATGTCTGGTGTCATTCAGGCATGTGCACAAACCGCCTGGCTGCTACATGTGTGCTCCGCTTTCTAATAGCGCTTATTTTGTCTTTCCTCTCACTCACTCTCTTTCACTGTTTTTATCTTCCTCTCCATCTCTCCAAACATGCATTCTTTCCCGAGTGTTTCCCCTAGGATTGTTTTCAGCAGCGGTTGCAAAGTTAGTGTGGAAGTGGGCGTGGCCAATGGTGTGGTCTCCGACATCCTCTTGGTCGCATAGACAAAATGTCGCTGTTTTCAACACATTTCCTGCAATTTTACACATTTTGCCATGGCTTATGTGTTCTTAGGTTATCTCCAACATTGAGTGACTCCAACATTATAACAAAATCAATGGGTTCCCCATGGCATTTTGGGCATTTTTTATTATCCCAGTTTTTATTTTGGTGGTTGTTAGTTCTCAAAGATGATCTTATAAATATACACAGTGTGCAAACATTAAGAACATCTTGCTAATATTGAGTGTCACCCCCCCCCCTTTTCCCCTCAGAATAGCCTCAATTCGTCGGGGCATGGACTCTACAAGGTGTCGAAGGCGTTCCACAGGGATGCTGGCCCATGTTGACTTCAATGCTTCCCACAGTTGTGTCAAGTTGGCTGGATGTACAGTACTTTGGTTGGTGGACCATTCTTGATACACACAGGAAACTGTTGAGTGTGAAAAACCCAGCAGCGTTGCAGTTCTTGACACAAACTGGTGCGCCTGGCACCTACTACCATACCCCGTTCAAAGGCACTTAAATATTTTGTCTTGTCCATTCACCCTCTGAATGGCACACTTACACAATCCATGTCTCAATTGTCTGAAGGCTTAAAAATCCTTCTTTAACCTGTCTCCTCCCCGTCATCTACACTGATTGAAGTGGATTTTACAAGTGACATCAATAAGGGATCATAGCTTTCACCTGGTCAGTCAGTCTATGTCATGGAAAGAGCAGTTGTTCCTAATGTTTTGTACACTCAGTGTATAGCTCCATTATCTTTTCTACATACTTTCTATCTGGCCACCTCCCGAGTGGCGCAGTGGTCTAAGGCACTGCATCGCAGTGCTAGCTGTGCCACTAGATCCTAGTTCGAATCCAGGCTCTGTCGTAGCCGGCCGTGACCCATGAGGCGGCGCTCAATTGGCCCAGCGTCGTCCAGGGTAGGGGAGGGAATGGCCGGCAGGGGATGTAGCTCAGTTGGTAGAGCATGGCGTTTGCAACGCCAGGGTTGTGGGTTCGATTCCCACGGGGGGCCAGTATGAAAAAAAAGAATGTATGCACTCACAAACTGTAAGTCGCTCTGGATAAGAGCGTCTGCTAAATGACTAAAAATGTAAATGTTAAAATGTTTTAGCCGTTTAAGTTTGAAAAAATTATTTGCAAAAAAAGATAAATAAATCATGTTTTCGGGAGCTGCTAAATGAATATAGGGAAACACTTATTTCCCTCCTTGACTCCTTCTCTCTACAGTAAAGTACAGTCAAGCAGTGCAATGTAGGGATACTTTTATTTGTAGATGCTAAACGGGAATGTAATTGTTAGTGCAGATTAAGACTGGTGACCCTACTAGAGAAGGTTGTCATAGCTTGCCTCATTATACTGTAATCTTTTTAGTCATACTGCATGAATCCTCCCCCTTTCCTCTCTCTCTCTATCTCTCTCTTTCGCTCTCTCTCTCTCTTTAAGGGATTCGTCTGTGTTATATAACAGACTTGTCTCCCTCAAGAATACCCCGGAGGAAGAACGAATAGGACGCTCGCTACAGTACCATCTATATCGCTATGACAACTCAGACAGGCAGTCCCCGACCAGAATGCTCTGGTCTGATCCAATGGCTGGCCTGGCCCCCTTCTGACTGCACATTAAACAATGTGCCCACTCTGCAAAACCCACAAACTCACCTCCCGACACACGTTTCCCACTAAGCTACCCACCGACACAACATTTACAAAATCAAACGACGTCTTGATTAAAAAACAACACCTTTCCCAGTGTTTCATTACAAAATCAAATGAATGGAAAAAGCAGAAACGAAAATGCCAATCTGACTGTTTCATTATCCCACCTCATTAAAAAGAAACGAGGCTCGTTCCAATCAATTAACCTGTTCATATGAATATAAATGTAACCTGTTCCTCTTAACAAGCTGTCACGAACGCAAGCGTATGGTGTCGGAGTATACCTGTCGAAATCGTTTCTAACCCCGGGGCTCATTTCACTTTCAGTTATTTCAGCTAGCTGTTGTTTACCCCTTGATGTGTGGTGCCATGGTGGAGGTGTCACATTTCCTTAAGATGGAATAATTATTATTTTGTCCCAGTATGGTGCAGGGCTAAGGGGGTAATGTGTAAGACTCTGTTTCCATAGTCTACACTGTGCTCAATGGGGCCTGGACTCACAGAGAGAGGGGGAGGAGGGAGAGGGGGGGGGGAAGGGATGGAAAAAGAGAGAGGGAAAGAAAGGAAGAAACTATAATCTATTAGCATTAGACCTAAAGAGAGGGGGAGGAAGAGAGATACAGAGAAGAAGGGTGTCTGTGAGAGAGGTAAATAGACACACCATGACCTTTAGGCATAGCCCTAACCATGACCTTTAGGCATAGCCCTAACCATGACCTTTAGGCATAGCCCTAACCATGACCTTTAGGCATAGCCCTAACCATGACCTTCAGGCATAGCCCTAACCTCTAAGCGGTATTTACCTGTGATGCTATTAAATAGAGGTTAGGGCTAGGTCTAACACATTTTGTGGGGTTTTGTAGAGCTCAGTAAAGCCCAACTACACACATGGAGAATATTGGCATCTGACCACACTGGCTGGTTCAACGAGCCTCGATCAGAAGTAATTGATTAGTCCTGTGGGATCAAGATCAATAACTGAAAACATTTATATATTGAAGAAGATATTTGTCCACATACTATTCTTCTCAGCCTCTCTGAGCAAATACTTTTTTTTTTAACAAACACAATTCTGTTCGGTTCAGTTCATATTTATTTAACAGTATAATCCACTCTATAAATCTATAAACAAAACAAAATATGATTCATTCCAGAGCAAACAA